CTTCCTCATTCCACGTTCCCCCTTTCCCTCTTTCCTCTTTCCATGGTTCCCCGTCCCCGCGGTCCCCCGCTCTCCCTCCCTCCTCGCCGCGCCGCGCCGCACCGCACCGCACCGCACCGCGCCGCGCAGCGCCGGCCGCCTCTCTCCACCGCGGAGCACTCGGCCGCCCTCGCACCCTCCACCCTGCGCCACCCTCGGTCCTCCGTCCTCCGCCCTCCGGCCGTCACCTACCACCCACCACCCATCACCCGTCACCCACCACCCGCTACACAACGTCCCGTCTATCCGCGTCCGTCCCTCCATCCTCGGCCGCTTCACCTCGTTCGCCTCCCTTCGCCGTTTCGTCGTTTCGCGTACGCCAATGCCTCTTCTACCCTCACCACCCTCGCCTCCTTCTCCTCCTCCTCCTCCTCCACCTCCTCGCGCTGCTCCTCCTGCTCGTTTCCCGTCTTCGCCCCCCTCCCCCGCGCCCCTGCCATCTCGTTCGGCGTTCCCCCGCCCGGTTCGAGAACGAACCTCCACCTTCGCCACCTTCGGCGGCTCGTCCCGCTTCTTCGAGAGGATTCCCCTCCGTTTCCTCGTTCCGCCGTTCCTCCTCGTTCTCCCTCTCGCGTGGCGCAACCCCCTCGCAACCCTCGTCCGAGGAGGCACACAGGCCCTCTTCTCTCTCCCTCTCTCTCTCTCTCTCTCTCTATCGCTCTTTCTCTCCCCCCGTCGAACCCTCTCTCCCAAGCAAGCTCTCTCGCAAGCCCGTGCACCGTTCCCGCTCCGCTGCCTCGATGCCACGATGCCTCGGTGCACCGGTGAAACTTTGTAAAGCGACTTAGTCAAACTTTAATAAATTCCTTCGTGGAGTTTCAAAGCGGTTCTACGCGGGATTGCAAATGATTACGTTTCCTCGCGCCCCACCCCGACACAGTCGCAGCAGCCTCTCTCTCTCTCTCTCTTCCGCTCGTTCGCTCGCGCTCTCTCTCTCTCTTTCTCGCTCTCTAGTTCTCGGTCTCTCTTGCTCGGTCTCTCTGTTCGCGAGATCGATCGACAAAAGGAACGTGGACGCCGTTGAAAATTGCATCCGCAATGGAACAAGTGCGTTCTCGGCGCGCACCGATTCGACGACTCCTCGAGGAGCACAGGCGCCCGCCGCGTTTTCCAAATCGCTGTCCGTTTTCCGTGCCGGCTATCTTTTCACTCTCTCTCTCTCTCTCTCTCTCTCTCGCTCTCTCTCTCTCTTCTCTGCACGCATCGGCTGCGTAAAACCGGTCGAAACGAGAAACCCGGCTCTCGGACGTCCGATTTGAAAATTACCGAAATTACGAAACCGCCGGTGCTCGTAGAAAGTTACGAAACGCGCTTTCTCGTTCGTGCTCCTATTACGCTAACAATTGCCCGGGATCCGCGAACAAACCCGGGGGGGGGCTCTATCTTGTAGCTTCTATAATAAGGCCTCGCGGAACGATCGAAATCCCGGTGACAAGACACGTTCGCTGCGTTCCGCGCGTAATACGACACCGAAATTCGAACGAAAAAATCGACGGAAACGACCGGCGATCGTTCGCGACGGTGACGGATCGACGACGTTGTCCAGACAGCGATAAAGTTTGCTTACGACGGACCGCGCGCGGTTAATTTCTTTTCGCGAAAATCGAGGCGATGGCTCGAGCGAAATCGAGAAATTGAGAGAGCGAGAGAGAGAAAGAGAGAGAGAGCGAGAGAGAGAGCGCGAGAGAGAGAGCGCGAGTGAGAGAGTGCTAGAGAGAGAGAGCGAGTGAGAGAGCGCGAGCGCAAGAGAGAGAGCGCCAGAGACAGAGAGAGAGAGAGAGAGAGAGAGAGAGCGAGAGAGAGAGAGAGAGAGAACGATCGTTGAAATCGCATCGTCTCCCGCACGATCGGATCGACTCGGACAGGATCGGGGGATCGGATCGGATCGCATCGCATCGCATCGCATCGTATCGTATCGCGTACGCGCATTCCCATGGCAACGATCTCAATCAGATACGAACCAGCTGAACGGAGAACAGAGAACCAGCTAGATAATGTATTCGATACAGGTAATATATAGCGTTCTAGATACAATATTTATGTCCCGACGTATTTCGCCTAGCAGCGCATTATTCATTCCGTATCGGTGAATAAGCATTTTAGTGTTACGGTATCTCGCGCGTTTGCGGAGCGTTGCCGGCGCTGGCGATTTCTTACCGCTTGGAATCGCACGATCGCTCCGAAAACCGTAACGACGGGGACCGTTTCTCAAAATCGAGGGACAGCACCGCGCCGGGCGGCGACGCTTTCTCTTCGAGATCACGATTGCCGTCGTCGCGCGCGCGCCAAACGTGAGAACCGGCACATTTTTTTCTTACATTTTATAAACGCCAGCGCGAGAAGACGCGTCCCGAGACGCTACGATTCCCGTGGACGATCGTCTCGATTAGTCGGAGGAGTCGCCGCGGCGGAGCCGTCGAAAAACGATGCAATTTAGCACGTATCGCGCGCACGATTCATCGAGGTGGAACACGAGGGGCGGAAGAGGACAGGGCGAAAGAAGGACGAGGGGCGGTGGAGGCGCGGAGCGGGGAAGGGTAGGAGACGCGAGCCGGGCGGCGAAGGCGGCGGTGGTGGTAGTGGCGGCGGTGGCTGGATGGGACGCCGGCGGTGGTAGTATAGGAAAGCAGGGAGGAAAGCTAAGAACGGTCCGATCCGTAGGGTAGACAAGATTCACACTTGTTGCTCCCTTCTTGGTTGTAACGCGAAAAGCTCGTTTATCCGAAGAATTTCCTACGGTCAAGAGATCACGCGGTCGCACGACCCTTTCCCTCGGTGTTCAACGCTCGGTCCCGGTCGCGCGAACACGACCGCGCTCCGCCGAAATCGCTCGAAAGCGTTCGCATGATCGTGAAACAACATCGGGGTGGGAACGGCGAAACCAGAGGAGGTGGAGGAGGAGGAGGAGGAGGGGTGGAGGAGGAGGAGGAGGTGGCGGAGGAGCAGGAGGTGGAGGAGAACGTGGAGGAGGGGGGCATCACGGCTACAAAGAAACGCTCGCTTACCGTCACCGGTAATAAGAGATCTACAAGAGATAAGCGAACGCTCGCGTAATAAGTAAAACCGGTTTAGGAGACCGTCGACGATAATGAGAATCGACGCGCGCGAGATAAAAACGAATCGGTTTAGCGAGTTGCGCGATTCGTCTGGCCTGGGCGAGGGGAGACGAGGGGGCGCAGCGATGGGCGACCGAGGGGCCCGGGGGAGAGCAGGGGTGAAGACAGACGAGTGGCGAGAGAGGAGAGGCGAGAGAGGAGAGGCGCGGAGTCGGTGAAACGCGAAAGTGCAAACACGAGAAAATAAAGGGACGTTTCGTCGGCGAGGAAAAGAGAAAACTGTTGTTTCGCCGATAAGCCTCTGGCTATTATCAGCTGTGCAAACGTTCGTCCAAAGAAATTTGTAAAATCAACATTTGTTCAAGATGTTGAAAAGCTCCGTTAATGGAGTCTGAAACGAGTGGGAGAGAGAGAGAGAGAAAGAGAGGGAGAGAGAAAGAGAGAGAGAGAGAGAGAGAGAGAGAGAGAGAGAGAGAGACAGACAGACAGAGACCGGGAGAAGGGATGGAGGAGGGGGGGAACGGTATCGACGTCTCGTTCTCGCGTCGAATCCGATTCGTGTTGTCGGACCGGGCTCTGAATCAGTTTTAGGGTGGTTCGTTCGGTTTTCGTTGCACGGATTTGGTTCTCGTGCCGCGAGAGACTCGCGCGATTTTGTGCGGTTCGCGTGGCTCGTTCCCGGGCCGGCAAACTGGTCGGGTACGTTGACGGGACGGTTGGCAAGCGTGGACCCGTACCCGGACCGGGTATCCGGTCGTCGGTCGGCCGTTTGTCCGGCTGTCTTGCCCTTCGACTACTCCTCCACCTTGCTCCCCCCCGCGCCGCCGCTCGCCGTTCCCCGTTCCACGGCTCGGAACAACTATTTGGTTGAGTCATAAGTAATCGCCGTTCCTTCGCGTCGACTTTATTGCGCCTCCGTGTATACCTGGCACGGAATAACTTCATTCAGACCGGCGCGCCTCATTATCGAGAGACTGCTCACGAAATTACGTTGCTTTTTACGGACGATATAATCCGTAGACTCAAGGTCCGAAATAGCAGCCGGGGGCCCAGCCGTTTCACCGTTATCTCGACGATTTCTCCGTTTCGACCGATCCGAGCAAATCCAGGCTGCCCGTCGCCGCCCTCCGGAATCCCCGAAAAACTTTACCAGAGCCGGTTACCCTCGCCGGCAATTACTCGTGACTCAACCCGATGCTCAAATCCGCCCGGGCGGCCCAGCCGAGCTGACCACCTGTTCCACGCGCGTAATTTCCAACGATCGGGGGCCCGGATCGGGGCCGTCGGTTTCGGGGCCGGTTCGCGAACGCGGTCCTCGCCGGCTCGAACGGACGGGCCTCGGGTTTAGTTAGATTTCAGCTGGATTAGCATAGACGCCGCGAGATTCGATCCCGTTAGCTCTCTCCGTTCAGCCGGCACGGGGGGGGGGGGGTCTCTCTCGTCGA